GGCGAGCAATTTCTCACAAGCTGCCGCAAATTGTATTGCTTCATAATTTTGAGAGCAATGTTTCTTCTTTTTTGTAGTAGTCATGTTGCATCTCAGGGGGTGAACCTGTTCTGTAAAGCCATTAGAGGCAAGGTGATCAGTCCAGTTCAGGAGCAGGCTGCTTTTTCTCATCGTTTTTTGATAGATGCTTATCTCAGAATATTACTTAGGCACCTGATTAGCTGGTCGTTCTTGTGTAACAAATCCATTTCAATGAGAAGTAAACTGCAGTAAATGATTAACATAATCTTCTTTAGTAATGACCAGGGGTTTTCAATTTAATGAGTCACTTCTGAAAGTCTGAGGGGGAAACAGGGACACTTTTTTTTTTTAAATTATCACAGTACAATCATTTACATGTAGAAACCTGGTGGTGTTTCTCAAAGCAGCCATATCAAACATGCAGTACATGTGCTCTCTCAGATATGTACAGCTCACTTGCAAAAGGAAATGTGTTGCACGAGTTTCATAAAATTACTGTTATGATTAATGATTTTGTTATCCAAGCAGTGAAACCACAAGACTTCACGACTGCCATAGCAAGCACAAAGCTCTAGTACGTGCAGCACAAATTTCTCTAGTAGATCATTTGAGGGCGTGTTGAAACAGAGTTTCTTACCGGACTCCCTGTTCCAACAACTTTAGTGTGGGGTTCACTTCTCTTAAGCAGCTACTGGGCATGTTTTCAATAGTTTCTCCTCAAAAACAAATACCAGAGCTGGATTGGTTTCAACAGGCTTTAGAGGAAGATGGCGTTTCTCTGACAGACCAGTGGCTCGATGGCTTGGGACATGTTTTTCCATTGGTGAAACAGCCTGGCTCTGGAGACCACATCCTTTCTGGATGTATTACTGTAAGCAAGTGTTTTGTATTTGGGTGACCTGCAACAAACATCTCATGTCTTCCCCCCTCCACTGTCCTCCTCAAAATTTTCACTGCTATGCTGGTGGTAGGAAATCCCATCCAAGACCAAATCTTGTTGTGGGGGACAGAAGTTGTTCGCTGCTTCCATCACTGACAAAGTCTTGCCATCACTTGTTCGTAGTGGCACTTGGCTGAAGATGAAAGTGCCTTTTCTTTGAGAACATTCCTGATTTTTGCCAGTCACCAAGTCCAGGTTCAGTTCCGGTGGAGTGGTTACTGGGAGAACAGTGTGCTTTTGAAGGTCTAAGCATCATCATGCCTTTGATCCTTGGTCACTTATTTTCTTCTGAGGATTTCTTTATGGCTTCTTGAACCACTTTTTAGCTATGAACTCTGTCAGAATTACCTCCTTGTGTTTGAACCTTATCTGAGCCTGTTCCAGTGGATGCCTCGCGATCTTCTCTTCTGAAGGATACTAGAAGAATAATCTCTTCCTGCTCAAGTTCCCATGGGACTCATGATTCAGTAGACTTCCTCTCTTCCCATCTTCATGATCCCTTCCATCATCTCTTTTTCCAGGATAGAGAGACCCAGGCTATTTAGTTAGCTGTTGTTGAGACACCATCCCATGTCCTTAATTGTCCTGACTGTGGCTCTATGAGCTTGCCATGGTGGAGATACCCTTAATGACACAGGGCGGAGAGGGGGCCAGAACCACGGACAGACTGGGAAAGCACAGCAGATACATGCAATGCCTCAGTGATCATCTCTGCTGCTGATGATGTTGAGCCACCAAGCTGACACTCACAGGGCTGTCTGTTTTAACCCCAAGACCTCTTCCCTGAGCAGCAATAGCTGGCTCAGAGTGCATCACTGTACATGTCACTTTGCACTTTAGGAGTATTAATTTTTTTTTGACATCCAGTCTCTTGGCATTATGAGATTCTTAAGCAAGTTTTCAAGGTCAGCTTTCATTTTTACTCCCTTGAATAACTTAAGTTTTGTCAGAAAACTGTCATCTTGTTGTTCACCTCTCTCTTCAGATGGTTGATGCGTACGTTCACCAGCACAGCTGAGGAGCTCGTGGTGTTCATTGATGACTTTCTGCTTGAGAGGGGGATATTTTCTACCTTTTTTTCTCCTATCTTCAAACTGTTCATTCCTGTGTGTCGAGAGCCTTCTCTCTTCTCATACAGAAGTTTGAAGCATCAATGGGGGACCTGGTTGCAAAGTAACACTGCTTATCCCAGCCAGTGGTCAGCAAGGTAACCCTGCAGACACTGCGTTTGTTTGACCAGTTGCCTTTCATGTCACCAACCAGGAGGCAGTGTGAACTTTTTTACGGATGAGTGAGCAGAGACCTGGTCTCAGATAGCTTGCTTTCTCCCTTTCTGGGCGCTTAGAGTAAGTGTTTGCATTGGCAAACTGCCCCTCTAATCTGAGGACGCTGAACATGGAAATGCAGCAATTTTTAATAAGGTGAAAGCAGAGGCCAGAGCCGCAGCCTCTGTGGTATGCTGCAAACAGGTTTTGTAGCCATGTCAACACATGTGGAGGAGAGGCTCGTTTGCCCTGCCAGGTCTGAAGGAGAATAAGGTATGGAGGAAAGCAAGGGTAGATAAGAATCGGGCAAGATAAAAATCACTGCAGCCTCTTTTCCAATTGCCTGTTGCAAAAATATTGCCTTCCCAGAGAGGCAGCAAATAACACACTGCTTGGAGGGGCTGGTTATAGCTCCCAGCTGCCCTGCTGAAGATGATCTAGCAGTTATGTCCAGTTTGGGATTTTTATTTTCATCTGGAAAGGTGAGGGGGTTGCAGGCCAGTATGTGGAGCCTCCTCCAGTTGAGTAATTTTCCCAGGCTTTGTTATTTTGACCATGAGCACCCACGATGTTTTGGGAGCATATCCACAAAAGGCTTGTCCCAGCAGGACTCGGCCATGGTTCCAGTCAAGGTGAAGGGTCCTGCTGGCTGGCATGACACGGTGTTAAGGCTCTGCCTCCTTTTTTGTTCATACCAGTCAAAGTTTAACTTTGAGAGCATGCTGCAGGCTGAGGCTGCCTGGACTATGGGGTGTGTGACCTTCTGTTGTTGTTCTGAGAAGCTTAAATTACAGCTTGGCATCTGGGTCTGCACCGCATAGAGCAATGCAAAAAGGTACTCTTGTTTGGTGGCTGTTGTAACTAAATCCTAACTCTTCTCAGGTTTTCCGAGTGGGTTGGAAGCTTAATGTTGTTATGAAGTGCTTGCTTGTAGAAGCTGCTCATTTTCTTTTGAAACGTCCCCAAAATGTGCTAGTTACAGGCACAAGAATTAGCTCTGGAGGGTTTAAACCCCAGATTTCAAATGCCTTTGTCTACTAAGCTATCAAGACTGGGCTGATGAAACCTTTTTTAGCCTGAATATCAGTGCAGTTACATTTAGAGATGGTGTTAACTATCTTAAGAGTTGTTCTGCTTCTAGGTACTTTTTTTTTAAAACAAACAAACAAACAAACAAACACACAAAAAAAACCCCACACCAAAACAAACACATGCATTAAAAGTCTGTTCCTAATGGGTAAGTCAAAAAACACCCTGCTGCTTGTACCTGTGAGATAACCCAGCCTGGCTTTACATCACACTGCAAACAGATCTGTATGTTTGCTTTCAACGAAGTAAGTTGGGAGTTCAGTGTGTTTAAGTGCTATACCAGTTAAAGAGGATCAACATCTGTTTTGTGTTGTAATGCTTTAAGGTGTGCTCACCTTTCGACAGATTCTTGCAGAGCGTTGTTTTCAGAATAAACAAACATCCACAATGAGTGTTCTTGTATTCTTGGATTAAGAGATGTGTCTAGTACGATTCATAAGAAAATAATATTTAGATAGTGCATTCTTGACAAGGAGGGAAGGTTTTTCAGGTAAAAACAGTCTTCTCCCAGTACCAGTAGAACTTTTCTCAGCTCTTGAGGTTGTGGCTCTAGCTTAGCTGTTGTGGCAAATGGAAAGTTTTCCCTTGGACTCATTATAGCTGCAGCACAGCTTGTTAGTTGGAAGGGGATGGAGATTTTTCTTAGTTCAAAGCACCAATTTTTTAGGCGTGTGCAATGTTATAGCTCTTCTGATCATTGTGCGTGGAGGCTCTTTTTTCCTGATCTGTTAGTGCGTTTAACAGCTGTCCTCTGATATTCATGGTAATATGAAAAAGCCCAACCAAACTGAGTAGTAATGGGCAAAATCCTGAATGTCTAGATATTGTATGGAAACTGTTTTAACCAGCAAAGGGCTATGGAGGGAGGATGGTTAAGACTGATGCCCCACTGTGTATTTCTCCAAGAGGAGAAATATGTAAGTTGAGAAGCTGCAGGTATTGGCCACAGTATGTTATTGTGTGATATTTCACCCTTTCATGATCATTGTTGTGTGATGATGTAACTAATAAATCTAAAGCGAAGTGCTTACCGTGAGCCAGGAATGTATAAAAACACAAGTAATGTTCATTGCACATTAGAGATTAGTGACAAAACAAGAAAAAAAAAAATCCTGAAATTTTTTAAGGAAAGCTGATTATTGAAGTAGCCTGTGATGGACTGGAATTCAGCAAGTGTTTGGAGAAGACCATATAAGAGTTTTTGGCTTAATGGGACATCTCCAGGTTAACAAAGTTGCCAGTATTTTTGTAGCCTGGATAACTAGTGGGGTACAGCCTGAGTGCATAGATGCTCTGGCTGAGTCTGCCCACAGGACTTAGACAATTACATCATTTGACAAAGTTTAACTTTGCTCTTCAGAGGTAGCTTCTCGTGTGAACGTTCATCATCCTGCAACGCCCAGTATAACAAATAACATGCCAAGCAAATACAAGTGGTGTTGGTGAATGTGTCACTGGTAGGCTATGGCATATTGTTTTTCCACGTGTGTGGCGACATCTTTTGTGGCCTGGCAACTGATCTGCCTCTTTCAAGTATTTCATGTGAAGCTGCCTGCTGTCAGGTGTTGCCAGTATTGCAGGTGTGGACGAAATCAGTGAGTGGCAAAACATCTCTCTTAATACTGCGTGCAGTAGCAGCTGAATGTATCATAATTTTTTTTCCCCTCTGTTTCCATTTAAAACAGAACGCTACAGATAGCTCCTCTAACTCCTCTCAAAAAAGGGAACAGCCTGTGCGAACTCTGGCTTCTCCTGCATCCTGCGAACATCGAAGAATTTGCACTCGTGGACACCTTCATGACCATTACAGCTCTGACCACTACCATCTAGAACAAGTAAGGTTTCTTCCCAGTGTTGTCATCTAAAGGGCTGTGTCTGCCATAGCTAAACTAGTGTTTGGTTTTTCCCCCTGCATCCCTGAAAGAGACCCCCCCTGCCTTTCTCACCTTTTCTTTCTCTGTTAGCTTCAAATGGCTTCCACTTATTAAAAAAAAAAAAAAAGTGTACACTGTGATTTAATATGTTACATTGTACCATGTGCACGCAGACCATTGTAGGTCTGTGACAGTTGCGCTCGTTCCTGAGACAAAGGTTGAAACTTTTGTGCTGGGTCACGGGGAAGGGTGTACAAAGAAGCAAAGACAAAATTGTTAAATACTGGCTTTTCACTAAGCAAGGAGACAGTGATTGCTGATAGCAAAGTGAGCTTATTTATCTTTTCTCTCTCTTCATCTCCATCCTTACTTCCACAGTCAGTACCGCGATCCTACCGGCACGTCAACTTCCCTGATGATGATGAGGAGATAGTGCGCATCAATCCTCGGGAAAAGATATGGATGACTGGATACGAGGACTATCGCCATGCTCCAGCACGAGGAAAGAACTTTGATCCTGATGACATGGACTCCTACGTACGTTTTGACAAAAGTGAGGCCTCAAAGCACGAATACACTTACCCTTATGTAGACAACTCGGACTTTGACCTGGGTGAAGATATCAAGGGTGCTGTGATAAAGACTCAACCTGTCAAATTCAAGCCCAGGCGGAAGGAAGATGGCGAGAGGTCGCGGTGCGTGTACTGCAGGGACATGTTCAACCACGAGGAGAACAAACGGGGTCAATGCCAGGATGCTCCAGACCGCGTCAAGACTTGCATCCATCGAGTGAGCTGTATGTGGTGCGCAGACACTATGCTCTATCACTGTATGTCCGATCCGGAAGGAGACTATACAGATCCTTGCTCGTGCGACACCAGTGATGAAATGTTTTGCCTCCGGTGGATGGCCCTTATCGCCTTGTCTTTCATTGCTCCATGTATGTGCTGTTACTTGCCGCTTCGGGCTTGTTACCACTGTGGGGTCATGTGCAGGTGCTGTGGTGGAAAACACAAAGCTGCTGGATGACTACAGATGCATTCGAAGTGTTAAGTTTTTCCTATAGTTCAAGGAACACGTTGGTTTTGGAGCATTGAGATCACTCATTTTGATGCAGCCACTGTGCCCAACAGCATCCAGAAACCACCAGTTCGGATCACTTTACCTTCGGTCGTCTGGGGCTTACACTGCATTGATTTGCTCATCAAGTGTTCTAACTAACTAACCTACAGCATAGACTTTTGTATTATTAATCTGTAATCGAAACAGACTGTCTTGTACATGTTTGTTTATTTTTTTTTTTCCAGTTAAAATGAGTTTGAGAAAAGAACTGCTTTAAATGGTGGTGGATTGTAGAACATCTCCAGGCTGTGTCCGTCTTGCCTCTGCTTGTGCGGTACCATCTGCGTGTCAGCAGGCTTTGGCATTTCTAGAAACAGGGTGGTGTAGTGAATGAAATCTCACTTGGAAGTTATTTTAACTTGCCGTCAAGTTATTGTGTGTGTATAGAAGGTGTGCTAGTAACAAACTTGTACCACAACACAGTATTTCTGTCACTGGTTTTCTTTGGGTTTTTTGTTCTGTTTTCCAAAGCCAAAATAGCCATCTAAGCTGCAGTTTCTCCTCTAGAGTCCATCGTCATTTCCTTCAGCAAACATCTTAAATTATTTCTCTGTTCATGAAGCTCTGTGAACAGAAAGCAATGCTCATTTACCATAGTCACATAACCATTGAGAATCCAGTAGTTCTCCTTACCTGTCATCATTTCAGACCACTACTTGAAAGGGAAACTTAAATTTTAGGGTTTTCTTTTTTCCCTAAATAACATTGGAAAAATGTTCTGCCCAAAAGAAAGGGAACTTTTTCATTAGCCAGCCATGTAATGATCTGTGAATAAAAACACTAAGGTTCGAGATGAGGAAAATTGTTGTTATGCAAAGAATTACTAACAATGCAATGTCAAAAGCACTATTATGGCAATCCTGGGGAAATGCTGCATTAAGTGGTGGATTATATGGAAAATCGTATTTGTGTGTTTGTTTTCTGTATAATACGAGCATGAGAACATAGGCATCCACGGTAGAAAATACATTTAGCAATCTAAACAGGTATATAAAATCAAAAGCCAGGATGTTAACCACCACTTCTATTTCCTGACCTGCGGTCCAAATCCTCCAGATACTTACACATGTCTCGACATACTGCGCATGCAACCAGCATTTCTGTGAGTCTGTGTGTAGGATTAAGCATGTGAGTCTTTGCAGGAGCCAGACCAAAGTGTCTCCCTGACTTTCCTCTCCCCAGTTCACCACCCAGATTTATCAAGTGGATGCATAAGGTGCATACAGCAGGATAAGATTACTTTAATTTTTTTAATTTTTTTTTTTAAATGTCATGTTGTCTTGTGTACAAGGCTTGTAATTAGCTTGGAAAAAGAGTATTTTTCTAATATATTACAAGGAATAGCCAAATAATTTTTATTAAAAAAAAAAAATTTAGTGCAGTGAGCTCTAACTAGCATAGTACAATCTGAATACTTTGAGGCAGCTAGGGATTGGCTTGTCAAAGCTGGCACTGCTGTTCCTGCCATAATTTCTTTCTGCAGTAAATTGCCAGTGGGCGCATGTCCTTTCCCTCCCTCTATTGCACATTGACATCAGTCTTAAAAGAGGAATTTTTTTTTAGTTAATTTGCCAAATAAATGTAAAAGGAACACTTGCCATTTTTTCTCGGTGGAATGTCCCAACAGTTCCTCTGAGAGTTATTCACAGCTTTTTAGTCAACCATGAATTAAGTATGCAATGTGCTTATACACTATAGAGTTTGGTAGGCTTAATTAGTAGCAGTTGCTGGGGATTTTTTCAGTTGGGAAAAAAAAAAAAGAATGATAGTGGAAAAGGGATGGAGTGTTACACTCTGGGTGATGTGTCTGGGTTTGCTGAATGAAATATATTTTGTGCCTAATAGCAATTGACAAATCTCTCAATGGTGTCTAGTAAACATCAAGCCAGCCTCGAAAAAGAAAAAGTTAATGAAACAACCTTTTCCTTTTATTTCTGTTCTCAAAGTTGTTTCGTGTAAACAAATATCTGTAAGATCTTCTCTCTATAAAGCACAACACTACATAAAGATCTTACAGCTTTTTGTCCAGTCTTGAAGTGCCCCTATTTATTTAAGTAGACATACTCCAAGCCTTTTTGTATGTCTGGAAATAAAAGTTTAAAAAAAAAAAATCCCTTTTTTTTTTAATTTTTCCTCCCTTTCTCCTTTCTCCCTCTTCTCTTGGGTTTTTGTAATACTTGTAGATGTTGCTGCGTGTGTTATTTGGTTTGTGAAGGCAGTGGTGTAAGGGCACAATGATAGAAATGGGTGTTTTTTGTAAATATTTCTTCTTAATTTCCACACTGCTGCTGAACAGTGTGTAGTGTTCTCCCAGTCAGCTTTGCAATACTGACATCAATCATTTGAGAGAAATTATTCAGATTTTATTTTTGTATCTGTGGTAACAAAACATTAACCAAATTTTTTTTTTCTGTTGTGGAAAGGTTTTTTTGTTTTTGTTTTTGTTTTTTTTCCAAGCTATCGCTCACGTTAACAAATTAAAGTGCCTGAAGCCTCATCATTATTGTATCTATATACTAAAAGTTAAAACCCTGTTGTATTGATTTTTATAAGCCTTTTTACCTCTGTGTAAAAAAAAAAAAAAATATATATACAAGTGTATGATGTACATTTTAGTTCTTAACTTCTTTTTTTATTGTTTCTAATATGTATGATCAGTGTAGCTATTGCTTTAAAATGTACTATGTAAATATAAATACATCATATCAAAATTACACCTTTTATTGTTATTCGGCTGGCTGGAAGATGAGGGGAAAATGAAATGGTGCTGGGAAACACGGGGACATAGCCGGAGCTGCCTCCCCCAGACCCTGGGGTTTCTGAGGGGAACAGTGGATTTATTTTACATTTTTTTGGTGGCAAATGCTGCTAGCCTTGGGCATGGGCCATATTTGCCCAAACACAGCGAGGAGCTTGGGTACAGGTGGGGTTTTTTCGAGGCTTTTTTGATGGTTTTGAGGTGTTTCTCACATTTTGGGGGACCCCAGGCCCCAGGGAGACCTGGCCTGGTGGCACTGGGCCTCAGGAGGCCCTGGCGGCCATGACAGCAGCAGTTCCCCTCCTGCTCTCCCTTCCCTTCTCCATGGGCTCTCCCTCATCCCATGCACGGCTTTGGGCTGGGCTAAATACACTGTGGGGAGGTTTTTATTTTATGTTGATTCACCCAAGCAGAGCGGCCCCAAAGAAGAGGGGAAATCGGAGAGGAAGGCCAGCAGACATGGCTGCCGAGGAGGGCCACTTTGCTTTTTGAGGGTACGTGGTGGAAGTTTGCAGGGCTGCCTGGATGCTGATGATGATGATGAGAGACACCTCGGGTGGCTGGAACTGGCATCCCTGCTTGGAGAGTTTAACATGGAAGATGGAAGTGGAATAACCCCGTTAAAAAAGACACCAGGCTGTGGCTGATTGACTGAGGAGACCGGAGGAAAACCAGTGAGTATATCTGAATTTTTATTTATTTCTAATGGGAGCTAGTCAGGGCAACACCATGTGCTTCTGAAAAGCCCAGTTTTATTTTTCTGTAGGTAAGTGGTAACACAACTAAGATGATAACACAACCAAGCCATTGCTCCTTTTTTTTACTATGTGATGCTGCTTATTGCACTGCTGAACAACGTAGCTGCCTTGAGCGGCATGCAAGAGAGGAGGCAAAGAGCACACGTGCCAAACTATGCATTTCTTTTTCAGATAAAAAGGTTTTCTCCTTGCAATGGTGGTGCTTTGCCTCATCTGCGCCCAGCCGACACAAGGTGACATGTTGGTTGTTGAAGTAACCTCGATGGTTAAATTTGTCACAGTTTTGCTGAGATCCTGAGTCATGTAAGCTTTTTATTGGTTTATATTTGTATTAATGTACTTCTAGAAATATATGCTCATTTAAACATAGATTTCTGTTTAAATTCATGATACCAGTGTGTATTTGTAATGTTTTTTTTTCTTTTAAAAGGACTGTAGGCTTCATGAGAACAACATGCACTGTGGGTCAGGTGGACTCGCGCACAAAATACTTTGGTCTGCATTGGTCTTTGCTCCATCCATGGCTAAGCCAAGGGCAAAGGGACTCTGACAGCCTCTTGCTTAGAGTTCATCATACTCTCTTGACTAACTATGGCAGGAAGACTTCAGCGCTGTTTCCTGGCCATTTGAATTCAGCTTGTCCCACAGAAGGCCTGGCTCCTGTATCTTCCTGTAGCCTGCAATGTCCTCTTGCTTTTTTCTGTGAATCAAAGGGGTTGCTTATGCCTGGCAATTTCTAAATTGAACCAGTAAATGGTTCGTTTGGACCCTGGATTTGTGGAAAATGCAACCACCACCAAGATGCAAGGCACCATGAAA